TCCTCTTACTTCTTAATGTAGTGAGAATAATAGGCCAAATTGCAGTGGTGTTCTCCGCTTGCTGAATAATGATTTGATGTGGAATGGTTAAGTTGCAGTGGTGTTCTCCGCTTACTAAGTGATAATTTAATATAAAATCGTGAAGAGCATATAACGTGGGATCTTGGAGAGCTGAGCCGTGTTCTTGACGATGGTGGTCTTATTACCGCTTGGTTTCTCCGCAGTATTCTCCGCATTTGCCTATTATAGTTCCTCCTCTTACTTCTTAATATAGTGAGAATAATAAGTCAAGTTATAGTAGTATTCTCCGCTTACTAAATAATAATTTGATATAGAATCGTGGAGAGCATATAACGTGAGATCTTGGAGAGCTAAGCCTATTCTTAATACTAGGGGCCTTATTATCGCTTAATTTCTCCGCAGTATTCTTCATATTCGCCTACTGTAGTGACTTCTCTTACACTGGCTGAGTGAATTAATATAAGATCGTAAAGAGTAGGCCTATTATATCACTGCTGCTAATAACTGTCTCCGCAATATTCTCCGCAGTATTCTCCGCATTCGCCTATTATAGATTCTCCTCTTATTTAACTAAGTGCGAGGGTATCGAGAGTAAATATATTCATATTAATGAATTTGATAGAATTAATAGAGTAATGAAAGAATAATAAACAGGTAAAAGGATTATTATCCGATCTCGAACGCGTCTAATGTAACTACCATAACTATCATATTTGAATATTCATTTAATCCACTAATAGTAGGCCAAACTTTATAATTTTTACAGCGTTAGAAAGCGCAAAGCAAGCTCTATAATTTACGAAATTATAAAGTAACAGCATCCGTAAAGAGCTAATTATTTCAAAGTGTAAAACTTCTACACACAAATTTTTAATAAGAGAGCTCGAGAGGGCTAGTAAGCTAACTTAGTCAGTCTAGCCAAAAGGCGTAATAACCTCAAATTAATAATTGGCTGCACATACAAATTCAAGGTTTTCTAGCTCAGCCCTACCTTATTCTTTTATATATACTAATATTATATTAATATAATAAGAATAATAAGCTAAATTATAATAGTATTCTCCGCTTACTAAATAATAATTTAATATAAAATTATAGAGAGTATATAATGTAGAATCTTAAAGAGCTAAGCCGTGTTTTTAATATTAAAAATCTTATTATTACTTAATTTCTTTATAGTATTCTTTATAATATTCTTTATAGTATTCTTTATATTTATCTATTATAATTACTTCTTTTACTTCTTAATATAATAAGAATAATAAGCTAAATTATAGTAGTATTCTTTACTTATTAAATAATAATTTAATATAAAATAATTAAATTATAATAATATTCTTTACTTACTAAATAATAATTTAATATAAAATTATAAAGAGTATATAATATAGAATTTTAGAGAGCTAAGTCGTATTCTTAATATTGGAAATCTTATTATCGCTTAATTTCTTTATAGTATTCTTCGTATTTATCTATTATAATTTCTTCTCTTACTTCTTAATATAATAAGAATAATAAATTAAATTATAATAATATTCTTCGCTTACTAAGTAATAATTTAATATAAAATTATAAAGAGTATATAATGTGAAATCTTAGAGAGCTAAGTCTATTCTTAATATTAAAAGCTTTATTATCACTTAATTTCTCTATAATATTCTTTATATTCGCTTATTATAATAACTTCTCTTATATTAGCTATATTAATAAAATTAATAAAATTAATAGAATTAATAGAATTAATAGAATTAATAGAATAATAAAAGAAGAATAATTATATAAATAGATAAAAGAATTATTATTCGATCTTAAACGCGTTTAATATAATTATAATATTTAAATATTAGTTTAATCTATCTATCGCTAACTTAAGAGAAGTATATAAAAAAGAATATATTCGTTTAAGCTCTTTTTAAGGGCTTTTTAATACGTTTATAAATAATAGTAGATAGCTATTAAACTCGCTTATAGCCTCGATTATTAATACTAGCCGAAAAGATATAATATATTTTATAAGATATTTTATATTAAGTAATATTATATCATATCTGAATATGATATAAATAGAGTCGAATATTATTTCATTTTTCTAATATGGATTCGAAATCTTAATAAGATATATTACGGTATAATATATCTATAATATCATATTATGAAATAGTATATATATGAAATATTTCGTTAAGATTTCTATATTTAGAAGTATAAAGTAGCTATTCTAATTATTATTCTAATTAATTATAGCTATTACTATTATAACTATTACTACTATAACTATTACTATTATAGCTATTACTACTATAACTATTACTTACTATTATAACTATTATTATTATAGCTACTCTTATTATAACTATCTCTATTATAACTATTTCTATTATAACTATCTCTATTATAACTATTACTATTATAATTATTACTATTATAACTATTACTATTATAATTATTACTATTATAACTATTACTATTATAGCTATTATATAATAATAGACTATTTAAATAATAAATAATAATAGTTATAATAGTAATAGCTGTTAAAATATTAGATATATAATATATAGAACGAATAAATTAATTCTCTAAAATCTCTTCGAGGCTAGATTCTAAATATAGTATAAAATTAGATAACTAAAGAATATAATAATTGAAATATACGAAGATTATATTTCGATAGTAGCTATAATAGTAATAGCTATAATAGTAAGTAATAGTTATAATAGTAGTAGTTATAATAGTAATAGCTATAATAGTAATAGTTATAATAGTATTAGTTATAATAGTAATAGCTATAATAGTAATAGTTATAATAGTAAGTAATAGTTATAATAGTAATAGTTATAATAGTAGCAGCTATAATAATAATAGTTATAATAGTAATAGCTATAATTAACTAGAATAATAATTAGAATAGCTACTTTATACTTCTACTCGTACTATTTAGAAGTAAGCTATCTCGCTTAATAGCGTCGAGAGAGTTAATTAATTAAACTACGATTTTCGCGATAAACTAAGTAGTTTAATTAATTAACTCTTTCGACGCTATTAAGCGAGATAACTTACTTCTAAATAGTACGAGTAAATATAGAAATTCTAACGAAATATTTCATATATATATTATTTCATAATATGATATTATAGATATATTATATCGTGAAATATCTCGTTAAGATCTCATATTATATTAGATATGAGATTATATAAATCTTAATAACTTATATTATATTAGAGTATAATATAATAGATTAATATTTCATATTATATTATATCTTTTCGATTAGTAATTATTAATAATAATAGATTTATTAAAAAACAATCTAAAGACGTTAATAGAGGCTTTAAAAGATAAATAAAAGAGATATATATATCTAAATTAAATACGTTTAATATAATTATAATATTTAAATATTAGTTTAATTTATCTATCGCTAGCTTAAGAGAAGTATATAGAAGAGAATATATTCGTTTAAACTCTTTTTAAAAGTCTTTTAACGCGTTTATAAGTAGTAATAAATAGCTATTAAGCTCGCTTACGATCTTAATTATTAGTAATAGTAAATTCGTTAAGAGATAGCTTAAGGGCGTTAATAAGAAGCTCTAATTAAGCGAGGAATATCGAAGATAATTATATTTATATTAATGAAATTAATAGAATTAATAAAATAATAAAAGAAGAATAATTATATAAATAGATAAAAGAATTATTATTTAATTTTAAACGCGTCTAATATAACTATTATAACTATTATATTTAAATATCTATTTAATTTACTAATAGTAAGCTAAATTTTATTATTTTTATATCGTTAGAAAGCGTAAAGCGAGCTTTATAATTTAAGAGATTATAAAGTAATTATATCTATCGTAAGCTAAGTATCTTAAAATATAAAACTTCTATATATAAATTTTTAATAAGAAAACGTAAGAGAGCTATTAAGCTAATTTAGTCGATCTAATTAAAGAGCGTAATAATTCTAAATTAATAATTAACTATATATATAAATTTAAGATTTTCTAATTTAGCTCTATCTTATTCTTTTATATATACTAATAATTAATTAGAAATATTAATATCTTTTTTATCTTAAAATTTATAAATTAATTATTAATACTTTATATAAATTAAGTATTCTTATAGAGTTATTATCTTTAATCTCTTTATATTTTAATTATTATTTAATTAAGCGTATTAATATAATACTTTAATTAAAGACTTAGCTCTTAAAGATTTAGATATTTAAAGTTTTTATTAATTATAATTATTATAAATAAGATAACTCTTATTATTTTAAATATATTAAGATACTCTTTTTTAATATTATGATTATATTTTTCTAATTATATTAAATTATTTTAAAATATAATTTAATAATTATTTTTATTTAAGTTATCTTATAAAGTATAATCTATATATCTTTTTTTATTTTAATTTATTAATAATATATAATCTAGTATTATTAGAGATATTAATAAAGCTTTAAATTCTTTTATCTTATTTGATAGACGTATTAATAGAGGGCTTAAACGAGCTATATATTAATAACGCGACTTTAATATAATAGCGCTTAACGACTTTATTTAGCGTAATACTTTTTAATATTAAATTATTTATAATAATTTAATTATTATTTTATTATATTTAGAATATATATTTATTCTTATATTAAAGCTTTATATAAAGTATTTTAATTTCATTATTATAAAAATAGCTTCTTTTAATAAATTATTGTTAGGAGACAATGTGACTATGTCATAATTTGGGTGTGGTGTAAAAGATGTTGATTATTCTATGTGCCTGCAGGGCAGATATGTGTGGTGCCAAGCCACGCTAGGCCCAAATGGGTGGTGGCTCTGGAGGAGGCCTTGGCGTACCGTGACAACATGCCCGCAAAGAATGAAAAAAAGACACGTCCTCGTGGCTGCATCTCTGGATAGCTACATCAATCATGCGCCGTCCATATATCCATGCACCTAGCCTTGGCCTATAGCCTCCATATCCTTCGCGAATCGAATGTAGCCGAGCGGAGAGGCGAAAGTAAGAAGAGAGGCGAGTTGAGAGGCGAGAAGAGAGGCGAGAAGCGAGGTAGAAAGTGGAGTACTGCTGAGGCGAGGGGAAGGATCTCCGCAATTCTGCATAGTGGCCTGGTGTGGAATTGTGGAGAGTGCGCCCGCTTGAATAGGACTGCTGCTGTCCGTGCTCTTATTCTTCTCCATAGTTTTCTCCGCATTTTCTCCACATTTGCCTGTTGCAATGGCCTATGCTCTTGTTCCTGCTTTGGTGGCTGTGCCGGCTTTGGCATTATGACTGACTGCTTTTGGTGTGGCGGCAGTGGGCCAAAGTGCTTGTCGAGTGCCTTGTCGAGCACGTCTTCTATGAGCTTGGTAATGGAGCGGACTTGCTCTGCTGAGAAGCCGGGAATAGGGCTGTTGAATGCCATAATGATATCGAGTGGCCTAGTGAAAGGATCGACCTGTAAATCGTGTAGGGACTCGTGGGACTGTGAGTACTGATGTAGGAGCGTACTTGGTGTTGAGGTAGGTGGGGTCCTAGGGGAGGAGTAGGCAACTGGTGTGGGAGCGAAATAACTTAATAGACGCCTGTTGAATGATCTTCAGGTGTTGCTACCATGTTGTCAGGAGACAATGTGACTATGTCATAATTTGGGTGTGGTGTAAAAGATGTTGATTATTCTATGTGCCTGCAGGGCAGATATGTGCGGTGCCAAGCCACGCTAGGCCCAAATGGGTGGTGGCTCTGGAGGAGGCCTTGGCGTACCGTGACAATTATTTTCTATCTTAATTTAATATATATTTATTAATCTAGATATTTAATTATATAATATATTCTTATTTTATTTTATTAATTCTAATTTTTTATCACTAATAAGAATTATTTTAAATTCTATAATTTATATTAGCTAGTTTATATTAATATTATTTAATTTTAAAATTAATTAACTAATAATTAATATTACTATTTTTTATTCTAAATTTAATAATTTTAATACTTAATTAAAATTTAGATAAAAGTCTTTCTATCGCTTTTTATTAAAATATTAACTTAATAAAAGATATAAATTAAATAAGAATATATCGAGTTTATAATCTTCGCTTTTATCTTTAATTTTAAAAGAGAAATCTTTTCTAATATTTATAATAGTATATAAAATTAAGAGAGTATTATTAATATTAAGGGGAGCTTTATTATATATAATAATTATAATTATTAATAACTTCTTTATCTTCTATAAATTAATAGAGTTATTTAAGAATTTATTACTATCGTAATTAGATATTATATATATACTTTTTTTAAACTTATATATTCTATAGCGTTGAAACAATTTAAGATCTATTTATCTATATTTTTTAATATATTTTTTTTCTTTTATTAATCTTCTTTATTTTATTCGCTTTCTATTAATATATAGTTAATAATATCTTTATAAATAAATAGATTATAATTTATATTTTATATTTTTTTAGCTTTCTTCTCTCTTCTAGCATTTTTAACTCTCTTTATTATTATTCTCTTTTTTATATTTTATTTTAAAATTTTTATAATCTCTATAATTTAGATATAATAGATTTATTTAATAGAATATAAAGTATTATAAATCTTTTATTATTATTAAAAATTAGAATAAAATTAATATTAAATATTAAAGATAATAATAAATAAAATATAAAAGTAAATATATTTAAATAAATAAAAAAATAAAAGAATAAAGAGAAGTTATTAACTTAAAAAGAGAGATTATTAATTAATATATTTTTAACTTATTTAAATTAAAGCGCGTCGAATTTCTATTTAAATTCGATTATCTATTTAACTTAAATACTTTATTTAAACTAAATAATATTTCTATTAATAATTTCTATTTAAATTAAATAAATTTTTTATTAATAATTAATATTAAGTTAATTATTATTTATTATTAAATATTATTACTTTAATTATACTTCTTTATTTACTTTTCTATTCTTAAATATTTTTTTATAAATAATATTTATTTTAATATATATAATTATAGATCTTCTAATATAAATATTTATTAATAATAATTACTTTAATATATCGATAATATATTTTATCTTCTAAATAATATTATATATAAAGTTATAATTTATATAATTATTAATAATAATATTATTATAAATTTTATAATTATTAAAAATAATATATAATTTTTTTTAATAATTTAAAGCTATTTTATATATAATAATATATTTCTATTATAATTAATATTATCTTTTTATAATCTTTATTAATAAAATATAAAGACTAAATATTAGCTTTAGCGTTTTTTATACTATTTCTCTTTATTTAATAAAAATTATATATTTTTTTTAATCGAAGTCTATTAAGATATAGTTTATAAAGAAAATTTATATTAATAAATTTTTTAAAAATTATTTAAATTTAATATTATTAAATAATACGAGACATTAATTATATTAAAAATAAAGATTTTATATTATATAAAGTATAAAGAGATATTTAGAGAAAGTAAAGATTATAAATTATTTTAATAAAATAGATTTTTTATATTATAGAATTTCTTAAAATTAATTAAGTTTTAAAGAATATAATAATTATAATATAAATATCTAACTATTTTATATATATATATATATTATAGCTTTAAATTCTTTCGCTAATAGCGAGAATAGTTAATTTAAACTATTATATTACTTTATATATTTCTCTTAATATCTTTATTATCTTTTTCTTTTTTTAAAATAAATAATCTCTTTATATATTAATAATAGTAGATATATATAAAAAATAAATATTTATTTATTTAATATTCTTTAATTATAAAGAATATAGAATTCTAATCTCGCTTATATATTAATAATATAATTATTTTAAACTTTTAAAAATAATTAATCTTAATATCTTTATTATTAATATAATATATAATTTAATCTATTATAATATTATATACTTTATCTTCTTTTAATATATTTATAAATATATTAAAATCGATATTATTTATTATAACGCGAATTAATATTTAAATTTTAATAATATTAAGAGATAATATTAATATATTAATTATAATTCTTTTTAAATATATATAGAAATTAGTTTAATTAAAAATATATAATTATAATTATAATATAGAGTTAACGTTATTAATAGAGATAGATTATTTATTTAACTATCTACGTTTATAAATTTATATATATATATAATTAATTTTTATAGCTATATCTAATTCGTAATTATTTAATTATTTCTTTAAAATATTAGATATAAAGATTTTTAGAAAAGCGTTCTTTAATTACTTAAAGATTTTATCGAGCTTTATTTAATTATAAAAAATATTAAGCGCGCTCTTAATTAGATATCTTTTTTTTATCTTTTATTTTAAAAAAAAGCGAATCTTTTTATAATTAAACTCTTTTATTATTAAATTATATAAGATAATTAATATTATTTAAATTCTTAAATTAATATTAATATAGAATAATTTAAATAAAATAGATAAAAATAATATAATACTAATTTATAAAAACTCGTATTTTATATCTAAGATTAATTAAATTATAGAATTCTAAAAGAAGTAGAATAATTCTAGAGAAGAATATATTAGAAAGAATATTATAGAATTAATAGACTTCGAATATTATAATAGAAGAGATTTTAATTTAGAAATAGATTCTATAAGCTAATCTTTATTTAATAAATCTTATTATATTATTTATTCTATCTATTTAAGAGATTAATTAATAATTAAATTAAATAATCGAAGTTAAATAATGCGATATAAAGTCGAACTATATTATATATTATTTAGATATTTAAAATATCTATTTAAGAATAATATATATCTTCTCTAATTTTTCTATCTATTATATATCTAAATTATCTTATCTTTTACTTCTTTATTTATATCGTTATTCTTATACTTATTATAAATATTAATTCTCGAGTTAAATATCTTTTATTTAATCTTTTTATTTAGAATCTTTTTATTTAGACCTTATAAATTATTTAATATTAAATTATAATTATATATTAAAATAGTATAAAAGCTTTAGAATAATTAAGTATATTTATAAATAATATATCTAAAAAGATAATATAATATTATTATATATTTAAAAACGAATTATCTCTCTTTATATATTTCTATTTAAAATCTTATTATTAAGACTTTTTAGATTATTTAATATTAAGTAATAATTATATATCTTTTTATTTTCTTATAATAATTTATTACTCTCTTATTTATTTAAATATTTTATTATTTCTTTTAATTAATATCTAGATTAATAGAGTAAAAGACTCTTATTAATATTATATCTATATCTATAAAATACTTAATTAAAATAAAAAAGTAGAATTTATTATTATTTTTAAAAGGTCGTACTATTAAACTATCGTGATTTTTAAATTAAATAATTAAAGAGTATTAGAGAGTTTTATTATCTAGATACTCTTATTTAAATTACTATAAATTTATTAATATTATTCAAAATTAATAAAATAGAATTAATAAAATAGAGAAAAAGATTATATTAAAGCGATAATTAAATTAATTATAAAGATACTTATAAATATTATTAACTTTTTAGAATATTTATAAATATCTTTATTAAGAGTATTAATTAACTATTTTAATATAATAAATTTAAAAATATCTTTTATTAAATTATATAAATAGTAATTATATATATTATCTTATAAATATTATAATTAATTCTTCTTTATATTATCTAATTTAAAAGACTAATTACTATTATCTAGATTTATAATAATTTTTATTATTATAATATTTAATATTAATTAACTTTAATTAATATATTTTAAAGAATTTAAAAATATTAGAAATAATAATTATAGCGCGTAGTTTATAAGTTTTATTAAAATATAATTTATATATAAATTTAAATAGATTATGCTTTTAACTCTAAATTTTATTATATTATATAAAATACTTAATTTTAATCTAATCTTAAATAATCTAATTAATATTTTAAAGAATTTTTCTCTAATTATCGCTTAATAAATAGATAATCTTTTTTATTTTATAAGATAAAAGCTTTATAAGTAAAGCGTTATTATTAATAATTCTTAATTTTATTATTTATTTAATTATTAATTTATTTAGAATTATCTATATTTTATTAATATTTCTTTTTAATTTCTTATTTAATAAAGCGCGTAAATAAAACTTTATATTCTTTATACGCTTTCTAATATTATAATATTTCTTTTCTATTATCTTAAATAAAATAGTATTTATCTTTTATTATAATTACTTAATTAATAAAACTATTATTATTATATTAATAAAGAATATAATTTATAATATAATTAAATATTTATAAATAAATAATAGATAATATTTAAACTCCTTCGCTATTCTATTATAATATACTTATTTTTTTTTATTTAAATTTTATATATAAATAAGATCTTTAA